CCTTGGGGAAACGCTTCATGTCAGCCGAGTCGAGGACCTCGAGGAGCGCGGAGGCGAGGGGAATGTAAGTGTCTGTTGCGCGAGACAGGCGCAAAATGGAGCGAACCAGGTGGAAACGTTGGGGGAAGAACGTAGAGGAGGGGACGAGGCGCATGGCACCCATAGTCACCTGCACGAGGGGGTAAATCAAGAGCTTCAACTGGCCCTCCTTGCCCGCTTCCGCCTCCTTCAGGGGACTGCAGTGCTCGGCAAGTACACATGACCAGAAGTCGAGCGAGTGGGTATATTGCCAGTTGTAGATGATCTTGTGCGAGTTCTTCTCCTTCTTCACGATGCTGTTTCGCAAATGGATGGCCAGTTGGCGGATGAAAGTGAAGGCCGTCGTGTAGCCGACATTTTGGTCGATGCCCCAAAGTTCTGCGGCAGAGTTCTTCATCAGGTTGATGCCCTGAATGGTGTTGATGTTTGTTGCTCTGGATCCTGACACAAGTCCCTGGTAAACCGCCTTAAGAACGGTCTCACGAACGCCCTTGTCTCCAATGACTACCAGTTTTCTCAGAACGAGGAAAGCAGTAATCTTTGTGGGTTCCGAGCTTGCCGGTCTGGCCCAGTAGTTGACTACCGTCTTGATAAGGACCTTGAGGAGCTTTCGGAAGGAAAGCAGGTAGGGCACGAGCGGCTCTAATGATCCGAGGGTAAGCTTGAGGGTGGCGTCGTCGGACAGTGTGCCGAGTAGGTGGATGATGGATGCAGTGAACGTCTTGATCATGATCGAGAGAGTGTGGAACTTCTTGGAGTCGGTAGGCACGTAGATCTTGCCAGAGGCAGACTCCTTGATGGGAAGGTGGTGGGAAACGACAGCGGGAATCTGCTTCAGGGCGACGATCAAGACGTCGTGGAACACCTCAGGGCTGTTGATGCTGTATCTTTGCGCTGCTGCGGAGCTCTCCTCGGCGTCGTCCTCATTGAGATGGGCAGCGCAGCGGAACGCCAGCACGATCTGTCTCGCAGCGCGCAAGCTCTGCTTCTCCAAGATCAACTTCTTCCACTTGGCGACCATCTCGCGTGTGAGCTCGTTGTCGAGCAGGACCTCCTCTTCGGCCTCCTTCTTGGCCTTCTTCCGCTTCTTCTTCGGTTGCTCGTCATCGGACTGGTCGCTGCCGGCACTGAGCTCGTCGATCTCGGCCATGTCGGCGTTCTCGTCGAAGTCGAGGGCTTCGGGGTCGTTCTCCTTCAGGAACTTATAGAACTCGGGGTCGTCGGTAGCGAGCTTGTCCATAGCCGCCTGCGTCATGCCGAGGTTCTCGTCGTCCGCATCGTCGTCGTCTTGGGCATCGTCCTCGCTGTCGCTGCCAACGGGTTGGTCCTCGACAGAAAATTCGGAGCCGCTGCCTGCGTCCGAGTCCTCGTCGTCTCCCTCCGGCGCATCGCGCTTCCGCTTGCCAGTCTGCTTCTTGCCCTTCTTCTTGTCGATGATGTCCTCGAAGCCGCCCTGGAAAAAGTCGTCGACGCTCATGGCGCTCACGGTAGCATCCTTCTGGTTGCCCTTTGGCTTTTTCGCCGCAGGGTCGCCCTTGAAGAACTCTTCATCCTTGGGCCGCTTCGACTGCTTCTTGGCCTTGACCTGCGCGCGCTGCTTGATCTTCGCAGTCTCCTTCCTCTTGTCGAGGACACCCTTCAGGTGCTTCTTCTCGAATTTCTTCGTGGCCTTGAGGTTCTTCTTGGAGGAACCCATGGTGAACGGTTCGGACGGGGCCGGTCAATTGGGATCCTGCTATTGGGGAGTGGTGGGAGAGGAAGGAAGCGGCTGCAGGGACCGTGGAACAGGAACTTCAATGGCAGAACGCTCAGCAAAATTTTTGGAGGAGCTTATCTTATCGTCGAGTCCCGCTAAGCCATCTATGGCCTTAGCGCCACAAGCTGCCCCACGTCCAACGCTGAGGCTCCTGCTGCGGAATGGAACCTGGACACCCTTGTCTGACTTTGTCTTGGAGGTGGTGTGCCTGGCCACTGCGACAATCACTGCAGCTCAACAGCTCCCGCGAAGCTGTGCCTGACGACCGCCGATCGACCATGAAGCCGGCGACGATTCGAACCCAGCCGCAAAGATGATGCCCCGGCAGTCCTATGCGCCTACGCCGCATAGCTATATCCCGAATACGACCTTGTCAGCAACAATCAATCTCGATGAGGTACCGTCCCCGTTCTCTTGTTCTTCCACCGCCCAGCGAGCGACCATGTCATCTGCCCCGCCCCCCGCAGCGCAACGCAGCCGTGCTAACATGACGATGCCTCGCAACAGGAGGTGAAGCTGGCCGACACCCGCGCCGAGCGCGACCTGCAGGATTCGCTCGCCGAGATCTTCAGCATCATCGTCACCCTCGACGAGCTCGAAAAGGCATTCCTGAAGGACGCCATCCCCGAGGCCGACTACACCGAGATCTGCGAGCGCTCTCTGAAGCAATACAAGTCCATCTTGGCCGACGAAACCGTCGCGAAGGCCTTTGGAGGCCTGGAGGAGTTCAAGGCGGAATGGGACGTACGTACCATTTCAAACAACAAGCCACCGCTCTTGACAACCCCAATGCTAACAATGTGATTCTACCAGCTCGAGGTCCCCCGCGCAACGGAGCGCATCCGCGTCGGCATGCCCTCAACAACCGTAAACGCCTCCTCCAGCGCCGCCCCGGCTCCCGCTGCCGCAGGTAACACCAGTGGCGCCTTGATTTTGGAGGCCACTCAGGAATTCATCACCTTCCTCGACGCCGTCAAGCTAGGCCTCCTCTCCAAGGACCAGCTGCACCCCCTGCTCTCCGACGTCATCCAGTCCGTCAACAAGGTCACAGACCGCGACTTTGACAGCAGGGGCAAGATTGTACAGTGGCTCATCACTTTGAACCAGATGAAGGCTACAGATGAGTTGAGCGAGCAGCAGGCCCGTGAGCTGGAAATGGACATCCAGCAAGCCTACCAAGGATTCAAGAGCACTCTCACTTGATGACCTTTTCCGAGTTTCGAGAGGGGTGATAGTTCTTCTCTTTGCAAGTAGATACCATTGTAGAGCAATCATGCATGTGCCTTTTCAGCTCCAACCGTTGCGCTGCCCAGTGACTTTACTTTTGATGCCATGCTAACAAACAACGAACCCAAACGCCGACGTCTACACCAAAAACGTCCAGAAGCTGGGATACACAAACTCGTTCTCGAATATCCTCCTCACCTGCTCCAGCACGAACCTCTCCACCTTGCCCACGTTCTTGAGGCTCTGTTTCCCGCCATCCCTCAACCCAATCTCGCTCTCGACCTGGATCTCCTGCAACAGCCCGCCAAACCTCTTCCCGGGCTCCGTGGGCCCCGCCTCGTCCACACCAACCGCAGTCGCAGCGTCCTCGGGGTTCAAGAAGCAAAAGTGCACCCTCTTACGGATATGCGCCATCACGCCGATTCCATCAAACGTAAGACCCGTCACGCTCAGCTGCACGGGAATCCCCACAAAGCTGGGCATCGGGTAGTCGAGCAGGATCTCGGCCGTCAGCCGCAGCCGCACGTCGCCCGCGTACCGGATCCTGAAGACGGCCTGCAAATCCTCCGGCCTGGGCTCCCGGAACCGCGGCGCGTTCTCGTCCTGTTCCTCGTCTTCTTCCTCCTGAATCGGCGCAGAATCGGCAGGGACGTGCGTATCCCTTGTCGGCGGCCGCGACGCCCCGGCGGATGTGGGTGCCAACGTCGACACGCTCGCCTTCTCCCGCAGGTCTTGCAGCTGCTGCTGCTGGGCAAACGCCGCTGGGTTGAAGTCGCTGGGTGATATCGAGCTCAACGAGGCATGACGGCTGTGGCTCGGCGAGTAGCCATTGAGCAGCGGCGAGCTCACGGGCGACACGACGGCTGAGGTGTCCAGCCTGTTACCCATGTGCGCGCCAGCTACCGCCGCGAGAGGCGTCTGCGTGCCGGACCACCCCGTCCCAAGATGGGACTGAAAATAGTGCAAATTCGACGTCCCGCCCAGAATCCCCGGCGTTGACACCCCCAAGAACGGGCTCGGAAAGTCGCCAGACTGGCCGCGGAGCGGATGCGTTCTCAGTCTCGGCGGCACCGAGATATCCTCCATCTGCGTTTTCCTCTCAGCCGCCCTCAGCTCGCTGGGCATCTGCTGCGGTGTCGGCGGCGTTGGCTCGGGGACGTCCTCATCTTCTTCCTCGTCGTCCTCGATGTCTGGGTTCTCTTCGTAGAAATCCGGCAGAGGGTCCGTGATGTCCTTGAGCTCCAGCTCGGGCGCGATGGCGCCGAATTCAAAGTCGTGTACCTTTACGGATTTGATGAAGCGCGGCAGTGGAACCGCCTGGAACTTTGTGTGGATGAAGTCGCGGATCCGGAGGGCCAGAGCCTCGCCATCGGGGCCCGTGGTGAGCGTCTCCCAGTTTAGATCTATCGACATCAGAGGTGTGCCGTGCCGTTTTTTGTGTGGTAAGCAAATTTGGAATGTTTGCGACTTTGTAGAACCAGGCTCACGAAGTGAAATGAATCGACGTTGTTTGGGTTGAACAGGGTTTGAGCTTTCTACCTAGGCTAGGTACATGCCAGGGTGCCTTGCTAACGCCACTGAAAGCGTTTAGTGACCTGTGCAGCAGCTCAGCGGCCCTAAATGGTGCCTGTGAATCAAGAGAACCACCCTACTACATCCACCTGAGAATTACACGGTTTGTTCCACATCACGTCAATTCAGGAAATGCACCACCTCATGCCGAGACTATTCGTGTAAAGATACCTTGGGGTCATTGATGTCATTACTGGGTATCTGAATTTCAAGGCCGTATATCATCAACGCCATGTCAGCTCCTCCCTTGCTACAGCACACCATCCCATGCTAACATTGGTCTCCATGTTCTCCTTATTGCTTTCCATGTTCAAGTAAACGCCTCCAATGCAGTAATCCGTTGCGACTTTGCGAATGACGAGACTCTTATAAAAGATCGTTAAAGACTGGGATCGAAGCAGCCAACTCACTCAAGCTTGACATCAGATTCAAAACGCGGCCTCATGGTGTTGGCCATCTGAGGCGCGCCAAATTGATGCCAGCAGTTTGGAGCCTGAAGAATGTATCTATGTGATACGTTAGTTTATATGATGGCAACAATAACTAGAAGAGACGTACCTAGCCATAGCCTCTCGGAAGCGAGACTTGTACTCCTTTGGGCTGGTGACTGTCGGGCGATTTCTGCCCCCACCCGCGAACCCACGGTCCTTGATCCAACTTTCGAGTTTCTTGTCCCATGTATACGTACGAATGCAATCGATGATGCCGACGACTAGCTCTCTCTTAGCCTCGTCGACTGCAATCATCAACGAATAGTCCATAACGTTCTGGCGTGCAAGGAACAGAGTGTCATTCCAGACCTGGACTGTTAGCAGGGCTTTGCAACAAAAATGGGTTTGAACTTACCGATGCTCTTAGGAGTTTCTTGGAATGCTCTCGCGCAAACAAGGGGGACTCGTATATGAATTCTACCATGTTTTCGTCCAAAAGGACTTCGTTCTGTTCGCCTGTAGACTGAATCTTTCGGTTTCGCATGGAGCCTTTCAGATCGAAAAGACGAGTTGGGCCGCGATCGTAAAACAAATTTTCCATGAGCAGCAGATCCAGCTTGATCTCGATACCTGTGACAGGGTTCTTGATGATGAGTTGAAAAAATCCCAGCATCTTTGCGATCACGGAGGGTAGATCGTGGAAGAGAGCCTCTGCCATGATGCCGAAGTAAGCTGGCGCGAATCTGAGGAAGGCGGATGTCTCAATGGGAGACAGCCCCTTCAGCACGAGGCGGTCGTCGAGAGTCTTGAGAAATACCGACTTGGTCTTGCCTCCCTTCGAGTCCCACTTCAGGCAACGAGAGAGGGATTCGACGATGCGATCCGCAACACCACACTTTCTACGCAATGCGTCGAACTGCTCCGCGTAGAAGATCTTGCAGAGCATTGTTGCGGACCCTTCCTTGAATTGGTATTTGAGATGGGTTCCCGTGGCCCTGAGTAGGCTCTTCTCCAACTCGCCCTCTTCCATGACGAATTCACCGCCAGTGTCCGACATGCCTGATGACTTGCCATCCATGTTAGAAGCCTCGTAGTCTCTCTGGATTGCGATACGTTCTTGTCGACGAATATCGGCCAATTTAGTGCGGTAGTCATCTGAGCTTAGAGCGAACGCAATGACAGAACTTGGTTCGTCCTCTCTTACAATGACATCGGAGTCTAGGAAAATATGATCGCTTGCGTTGACTGGATAATCAAGCTGAGGCCAACCGCTTGCCGATCTTTCAGCCCAGAAATTCGTAAGCATCTTCATGAGACTGGTCTTCTGGTGTTTTGGCAGTTCGAGAGGGATTTCCGTGCTTGGCTCCAGGGAGTCGGCTAATTCTTTGACATCGGGCAGCAAGTCGTCTAGAATTGACTGTTCAGTATCACTCTGCCCTTCGTCATCAGAACCACCGTGACTGGCCGTGACAGTTGCAGTATCGTCGGTTTCGCCACCCACGTGTTGCTCTTCCGACGGAGGGGCGACTTCTGGCGCAGGTTGTGCCTCTTCGGCCGGTGGTTCAGGTGTCGGCTCAGTGTGGACCGTGTTGGGTGCTGGAGTAACAGGTGCCGTCTTAGGCTCAAGAATCTTGATGTCGTTATTGTGATCAGTTGTCGAAGGCCCAGGCTCCTGGACAGCATTGTCGATGTTGTGGTAGACTTCGACAATGGCCTTAGTTGCAGACCGTGGCAATCCCGCACGAGGTTGAGTCCCCTTCGCCAGACGTTTGCGACGATCTTCGCGTTGCCTCTCCTTCTCGAACTCGCGGCTCAATTGTTCAAAGTGTCGGGCAATTCTAGACACCTGTGACGACACATGTGAATCCTTCTTCTTGGTAATCAGCCGAGGAATCGAAGAGGGACCAGCTTTCCTATGGCTTTTCATTCCCAATGTGAGGCGGTCGAACGGCTTCTTGTCTATCTTGAAAGACGATTCGGTTGCGGTATCACTGACATCCTTCGGCACTATTGACTTCGCAAAGCTTGGCTGGGATCTTGGCAGTGTCGAGGCAGGTTGTGAAAGAGTTCTAAGCATCGGGTTCCTGCGGGCGACAACTCGCTCTGGGTTCGGTTTCGGCGGTGCCTCGACCGGCTCCTCCGTTGATGGCGTTCCGGCGCCCATGGCTTGTTGCTCACGACGAATCTGCTCAACCTTTTCAGACAGAGATATTCCAGTCGAAACAGTCGTGAGCGGGGGCCTGGACCCGGGAGAGGTCGGTTCTGCCGTGCTGGGAGATCCTGATATTTGTTCGCTCTCTTCGGTTATAGCGATAGAGAAGGGCGGTTTGACGATGGGCGACCCAGGTGTGGCAAGGTCGAGAGGTTCTACCCGCTCCAGCACAACTTCTGCAGGTGTGCTAATCTTGCTGTCTTCGGACGTAGACTCCTCAGTGGCAATCTCTTTGTCCTTCTGCTCCATTTGCTCCCCTGCCTCTGGCACAGCAGCAGGAGCAGAAGTCGTGACTGAATCGATCTCAGGCTGCTTTTCTGCCAGCGACTCCTGTTCTTGCTCCTTCGTCTCCTCTGCTCCTTGCTCTTCGGCTTTTGCTGCATCTGTGTTTCCATCACCACTGGGTTCACTCGCATCCGTAGGCTGTGTCGAAGCCTTCTCATCAACATCCGAGAACGTCTGAGAGGGAGGCTCTCCAGTATCAACGGTCGATGCCGTGCCGTCAGTGGAAGGCAGCGATTCTCGAGACTCGTTGTCCGTGAAAATCTTCTTGAGTTGAATCATTGTCAGCTGCCGCAAATCCTTGTCAGGAAGGAAATCGATCTCGAATTTGGAGAATGCAGCATCCCAGTCGCCAGCTTTTTCCAGCATCTCCCTGACGATTGCGTTGAAGGGAATAACCTCGTAGTACTTGGAGTTAACGTAGGTCTCCTGAAGTCGGCGGATCAAAGCTATCTGGTCCTCCTGTGCTTTCTTGGCCAGCCTGTCGACTTCTGCCTTACAAGCATCTGCTTTCTCAGGGAGAACACTGTCGATGCGAATGCTCTTGATCCGAAGTTTGACGGAGTTGACGAAGCGCACCCATCTTTCTTCGATTTTATTAAAAATCTCGTTCTTGAGCTTCAAGTCATTCTCGACCTTCCATGTGATCCGAGCTCTGGGTACAATGATCTCGAGGAGATCAATGGGATCGTAGTGAATTCTGATCCACGTATCACGGTGCTGAAAGTAGCGGATGTGATCTCGATGATGGTCGTGGGCACAGCCCGTCTGATCGTGAAGTCGCAGCCCCCTACTCCAAAAGAGAAGCTCAAGATACTTTCCGAAGGAGTATTTCCAGGTGCTGTCCGACATGGCCATTTCTGGAGAGTCCTTTTTGCAAATCTTGCAGTAGCTCCACATGGATATACCGTCTACTAATCGGCGCTGTTTGGGAGCCGCTGGCTCAACGAAGATGGTGACACGTGACTCATCATGCACGTATGTACGGTGATGTTCAGTCATCTTCCGGTCACAGCCATTTGCTGTACATATTGAATCCTTGTTGAGGCAGAGATCTTCAATGTACTGGCCCAAAGTGCAGTCAGGGTCCATGCTTCCGCTGTCATCGACATGCTCGTCATAGAATCCGATCGCGATCAACCCAGGTTCCGAGCATGGGATCTTGGTCTCTGTGCATATTTCCGAGTACAGCACAACAATGTTCTGATGCGAGTAAGGATCGAAGAGATCCAGGTTGCCCTGAATATAGTTCTCCCACTGTCTTGTCTGAGTCTGATAGTTGTAAAGCGCCTTGTCATACTCAGCGTCGTGGACGGCGTGGAGTACTTCCATGATCTGCCGCGGGGCCTGCTGTCCAATCGCGTGGACCATCTCGGGCTTGATCAGTTGGAACTTTTGCGACTTGGACTTTTCGGCATCTGTCTGTTCCTCTATAACGTCCTGATCTCTCAATCGTTTCAGGTAAACCAGACGTCGTTCTTGCTCGCGAGCTTTCATGAGCAGATAAGGCTGTGCAAATTTAACAAATGGTGAAGCAGAAAGAATCTTCGTCTCATATCTAGCAACCATGTCGCTGTAGTACGTTGGCATCGGCACGTCTTCGGGCACTTGAGATTCGGGGGACGTAGGCGGGACGTGAGATGCGTGCAAGGACACAAGAGGGGGCCTCTCTTCCACGGGTGGCTCCTCAGTCTGTTCGGTTGACACGGTGCCTTCGGCGGTGACCATTGAAGTACCGTTGCTCGTCTGAGAAGGCAGCTCGGGGGTCGACGTACTGACAACTGCAGCATCCTGCTTGGCGCTCTCAACGGACGCGCTTAGAGATCGCGGAGCATCCTCCGGAGGTTGACGAAGGGATGATGCCAATGAAGATGCTTCATCGATCTCAGCGGGCAGTTGGATATACTCATCTCGCATCAAGCATGTTTCCAGCTTCAAGTTGTAGACGACGTAGACCATGAACTCCGTGATCTTCTTCATCTTTGACAAGACTTCAGTAGAGTCCCCACGGAGGGCGATGGTGCAGCCAAGCTTCTCGGAGCAGCCCGACAAAAATATGTATGTTTTCTTCTTGCCCGGATAGCTCTTGTTGACGTAGGTTTTGACCTCGAAGCCGCCAGACCTTCCAACCTGGACCTGCAAGGCGAGCATGTCGAGCGAAGAAATGATGTCTGTTTCCGCACACCGCGAAACGGCTTCAATCACTGACGGTTTCACGTTGTACGCAACCGCGATATTAGCCTCAGAAAGATACTGTAAAGCAACGCCAGAAACAGATTTTTCGCAGAGCAGTAGCTGAGGGCGCAGATTGATGATGCGATTGACGACGATTCGCAAGAACTCCTTTTCTTGTTCGATGACTGGTTGGAGGCTCATGAAATGCTGTTGGTGCCTCTGGTATTCGATAGGGAACGACACGATGACAATACGTGGGTTGATGATGCGTCGAGGCATGCTCTTCAGGGCGAGGTTCTTGGTGAAGATAACGCCGGAGACGTAGCTGGTGTCGCCTGGCTTGCCCCCCGGAATCTTCTTGAGTTTGACGTAATGGCGGATGTCCATATCGTCGCCAGCCCTAATGTCGGGCGTAACGTCATCCGTACATTGAAGCAAGATCGGAACTAGAGCCCTTTCCCAAGCGGGTACGTTGGGGATTCCTGAATCTTCGAGCAACTGATGTAGGAGTTTCTTCACATGGAGCATGCTCGACGGGTTCAGCTCCACCTGCGGCTGCTTGTCATCTTGCATGGAGTCGCTCCTGGTCAGCTTAGTAGCTTCTATGGCGGGATTCTCGATAGTGAAGACATTTTCGTTAGATGCCGAGGGTCCTTTGAATATTCCAGATTTCGGACGTGGAGACCGCATTTGATGGCTCACATTGCTGAGATTGCGTCTCCTTGCTGGCCGACCATGGCCAATGAGGCTACCGGAGCCGGCGTTGTCATCCATTCCTCGACTCGTGAAACTCAAGCCACTGACACTTTTTTCTCCTCGGCCGAGCCTGTGTCTCCTGCCCGCGCTCAAGAATGGCCCAAAACTGGACTTTTCGTGATCGTAACTTGACGGCTGCAGATCAGCACTTGACATTGTAGCAAATATGCTCATCTGCTCGTCACCACTGGACTCGTCTGACATGTAGGCAGCCAACTCTGGGTCGATGATATTGTCATCATGAAATGCCGGGTACTTTGGTTTCTTGGTCATTTCATCGGTAATGCCTTTGCGGAAGGGGGCGCTGTTAACATCTGGCGCTGGCATTGGTTTAAAGCGTGCTAGGAAGTTATTGTGATGTTTTGAATGATGGCGCTTGTGACCTGACGACTGCGGACGGTTCGCGGAGGTCAGAGATCTGAGTGAGCGAGACGAGCTCGGACGACTTAGTTGCGGCGCATCAATCTCAAGAATGGCAGAGTTCCTGTTCGAGTCGTTGATTCGTCTGGTGGCAGGAATGGCCATCATTGGGGTCTGAACAGATCTGGCGTCATTCAAGCCCTCCATCTTGTCCGCAAAACTGGGCTCTTCAACCTCAGCTTCGGCTTGCGTGACCTTGGGGGTCGCCTTGGTTTGTCGGAAAATAGCCGGCAGAAACGAGTCATCACCAGAGTCTTCAGAGCCGCTTCCTTCGTAAAGCCGCTGGTTGATGACTTTCAGACATGTTTTGCATACTCGCAGAGTGCCAGTCATTCCAAACTTTGAGGCCGGAATGATGGAAGTGCACTTGGAGTCGAAGATGCAGCCACAAGTTCTGCAATGGTGTTTCCGCCTGAATGCCGAGAACGGCTGGCCACAGATGAAGCACTCTTTGCACGTTTCGTCCGCCATCCAGAATTCCTTGCTCAGCACTTGTCGCCGCATACGATCGAGCCTGGCATTGACTTGCTCTGGCGCGCCCTCATTAGTTGTTGTCCCAGGAATTCGGAGTACCCCAGTCCTTCCATGCTTCGGTTGAGAGTCGTGAGCGAAAGAGTCATGATACACTGAATCGTGTGCCGAGGTGCTGATTGGGCTTGGCTCCGCGGTGACATGCTCCATAGACGATGATCTTGAAGGCGCATACCCAGGCGATCTTGAGCGGCTGATTCGATCAATAACCGCCGGTCGCTTAGGCGCGATAAGCATTGATGCAGCCGAAGACACTGGTGATCGAGGGTCCGTCGTTTGCAACTTAGGTAGCGGCGGAGCGTTGGCCTTGATAGGGCTCAGAGGCTTTTCAGCAGGTCCATCAACGCCTACCAGCCGGGAGCTTGCATGGCTTCGATCTATGGCGGCGGTTGGCTTGGGCTCGAGAACGTCAAACTTATGGGAGCTGTCGGAGCCTATGACAAGTGGCCGAGGATCAGGCTTGCTGATGCTGCGCCTGCCAGATGACCGACTAGGACCGTCTTCTGCAAGTGGAAGGCTTCTTGTCGCCGTGGCGGGCGCGACCTCCGGGTTGATAGCCGTGACTGCTGACGCTTTGGCAACACTGGGCATACTTTGTCGGCTCGAGGTGCTTGACTTGGATGCTGTCATGGCAGATATGGAGGTAGCCTTGGAGGACTGAGGGGGCTGAGACTGGCTATCCGACATGGCGGTATTTACTCCCGAAGAGGTGGTCGCCGTCATGGGCCCATCATTAGAGTTGAAAGAAGAGCTCGTAACAGCACTCTCGACGCGAGCAAGGGAGGCTGCCGGAGTCTTGGTCGAGGTGACCGTGCTAGTGCTACGCTTCGACGCCGCGTCGAAACTGTCGGCATCATCCGTATCCTGTGTCCTTGCTCCAACGGCACCGACGGCCTCTTTCAGGCGACTATACAGACCACTGAGCCCGTTCTGAACCAGCTCGCCAGTCAGCGCCTTGGTTTCCGTCGCGGGGAGGGAGGCGGGAGGCGGAGCGAAATCGTTGAAGGTTGTCAGAGAGTCGGACTGGCTCGCTGACGTATGTATCCGGTTGAGAGTATGGGCCAGCTGGTCTTTATCGGCCTGCGAGGCGGTAGATATTGAGTTGATGGAGTCATGGCGGCTCCTAAAGCCCGGGGGCGCCGAGAGGACCGCGGGAGAGTTCGCTTTCGGGGTGGTGTTGCTGGCCATCTTGCGCAGAGGCAGAGATAGAACAGCTAGGCTATGAAGGATTCGTGGGGGTCGCTACGACATCGGAGGCAGTGTATGCGTAGCCGGACCTCAGAGTGACATAACGGCGGAGAGAAAATGCGGTGTCGTGAGATGCTTCCAACGCCAGTCCTTCTCCTCGTCATCCAGTCCTGCCCGGGTCGTACAGTGTGTATTCGCAATGCGCCGGATGAAAGAGACGCGTTCGGCGGCGGGGGGGCCGGTTGAAGAAGGCTCTCGTGTTCGTGGTATTTATGCGAAGGTAAGTATCGGATCGTCTCGACAGGGTCGGTGGTCTCGGGCGAGATCAAGGGTCCAAGGAGGGGCGCGGGTGACGAGGAGGAGAAACGACGTGGCGAAGGTGTAGGTCAGGCTCTAGATAGTTGTGTAGGTAGGGCGATGAAGGAGAAAAGGGTGTGGTGTGTCGTCTAAGGTAGGTATGTATGCCTAGCACGCTTAGGTAGTCTGCAGTGGGAGCTAATGTCTTCAAGTCGGCACCGGGTTCTTTTTAGAGACGGACCATCCGTGAGCCAGCAAGCACTACCCCGTCAAGGTCTAGGCCCGGGTGGCCCAGCGGCTGCCAAGTTGGTGGAATCGTCAAACGGGGATGACGAAGCTGGTGGTGGTGGTGGTGGTGCAGTGGGCAGTTGGCAGTTGGTAAGTCCAAGATACAAGGTCTGCGTTGTACAGCCGGGCTTACCAAGAGTGATGCCTTGAAATGGTTGGCTTTGGGGATGTTTGGGGGGCATTCGTAGGACGGATCAAGAGCCGTTGCAGCGGTAGTAGCAGTGCATGTGGATGTACCCGGTACCCGTTCCGACACTTGCCCAGCGGCCAGTGCGACCCACCTCTACAAGGTACGTACTCTGCCTCTGCCTCTGGAAATGCGCACCTTTGATCCAGATGCCGTGGTATCTTGACTGTCTTCCCTCAGAAACCAGAGCTCGGACCAAGTCCTACCTACCTAATCAGTGATGCCCCACGTCCCCAAGTCGGGCGGGCTGTCAGCCAGGACCCCGCAGTGCCAGGCATGTCGCTATGTGACCTCAGGTAGGTGCACGCTGGAGGGGACTTTAAGGGTTGACACCAAAAAACGCGTTTCCGGCGCGTCACCTCCAGCAAGCTTCCCACCCGCCCAGCTCTTCAAGTCCCGTCGTCCACGGGGTAACGACTTGAAGTGACACCTCTCTGGGCCACCTCGGGTTGAGGCTTGGATTGGTGACTTTAACTTCTGACCAGACCCATCCGTTTCCAGCTCAGGTTCCCGAAGTCAACAAGTTTCCCATTTGTTGACCTTCCTCTCGATCATTTCCAACACCCTTACCAACATCAACCCAGGCACTTGCGACAAAGTGAGGCGATCTACACTTGCAGTACAGATGCCACTCGGCACAGTTTTTTTTCTCCCACCGACATAGATCACATCCATTGTCACAATGACTGGTCTGGGAGGCAGTCCGGGCTCTTCCGCGCCCCAGTCCTTCAAAGCACTTCTGAGTGAAGGTAACACCATCAGCCGGAACCTTGCAAAGGTGCCCAAGGACCAGCAACAGCTCCTTGACAGACCTGACTCCTGGTTCACATCTCACAAAGACACCAATGGACCACCTAACCTCCCTGCCGGGGTCCTTGAAAGCCTCAGAGAATTCCACGCAGCCCGTACCCTTCCACCCCCGGCACAGAAGCCAAGAGCACCTGTCTCGAGTGTGCCTTCCCCGACGGGAAACGCAAGACCAGCTGTTGTTCACAACTTCTCTGACCATGGACAGTCTTCTTCGTCTTCTTCTTCTTCTCCTCCAGGAACCCCGGTCTCCTGGCCTTCATCTCCAGAACGCCCTCGACATTCGGCCAACCAACCTGCATCTCCGACCCTTTCCATCAAGTCTCAAATCGGAATCGAAAGTCAGCTTCCTGCCACAGCAGCAACGGCAAACCTCCCAAGCAGTCCTCCCCAGTTTTCATCACCAAGCATACCTACCCCCAAACGCTTTGATCCACCGGCCAACTTTCCTCAGCCAACTTTGAAGCGCCGCCGTGTTGAAGAATTCCCATCCAGCAGCGGCGGGTTCGAAGACGAACTGGAGACAGCCATTCCGAACGCACTTTTCCAAGCAACGCCGCCCATCAATCGAATCGCAGCCCACCTTTTGACGAGGTCTGAAGCTGCCACTAGCCCCCCGTGCGGACAAGGAAGCATGGTTCCATCAAGTTATAATGACGGGCGAATGACTTTCAAATCATCGACTCCTAAGGAGAGGCGAAACATGAAACTTATTACCTTCGATTCCTCCCCTGGGGAATCCACTGCTGATCGCCCGCTCGAAGCAACGCCAGATGATTTGCCTACGATTCCTCTTTCTCAGCCCCGAGAGAATCGTGTACCGGTATCATCAGGCCCCTGCATCGCCTCGACATACGCAGCCGACTCCCACCAGTCTGCTCAAGCGCCCCAAGTTGTTCACGATAGCCCGGGTGCTCCCAGAACTCTCGCCCGCGTTCCAGGAGCTGAGAATTTCTTGGCTTCACAAGCAGGACCTTCGGGTTCGAAGTCAGGCACGGGTCTCCCGGAGGCCACAATTGCAGACGAGCAGAGGGCAACAATTGCAGAGGAACGGGATCCCATGATGATAGAAGATGCTGAAGAGGAGACTATTGGCATGAAAAAGCCAGTGCTACGCGTGAGTATGGACGATCCCGTACGTTGGAAGAAGGCAGATGACAAACGGGAACTCATCCAGTGGTTGAATGACAATTGGGTGGAGTCCGACTGGCTTCCGCCGCTTTTGCAGGAGTATCGATCCACTCTTTCCTTCAGCAGTCTCAAGACCTTGCAGAATATCACCAAGCTAGCCATTGATGGAGGAGTTGATCTTTTGAGTCTATGGGCTGAACCCGACGGCTGTCTTTACCGCACAATCTCGAGGCAAACCAATGGAAAGCTCTCCTTTCCTGAAGATCTGAATCACGAAGCTCTTGAGCCTTTGGCGAAGGCTTCACGACTGGCAAGAGAGAGAAGAGCTGCGCAAACCGCCAACCCCACTGCGCTACAACGCCAATTAACTGACGAGCCTTCTGCAGTCGCAGCTCCCGTCAGAGACGAAGCGGCTGTGGAGAACGCAGAAAACGACTCAGCGAAATCAGGCAACGTGTTGCTGCCGTTGCATGCTCCTAGAGAGGAAACCTTGGAATGCTTCTCGCAGCAACCCGCAAAGGCTTTCCAGAACGCATACCCGTCTTTCACAGGGAGTGTTGCCGATTTTGTCAGGGCGTGCATTGTGGTCAAGGGACTTCAGCGCAAGCATCAGCTTCCCAAATGGCTGTACGATGACTTCATCCGGGCATTCGTGGACGATTACACTTCATATATGGATGAAGTAGATAAGTCGTCCTCTATTGCAAAGCCAATGTCAGCCATAAGATGGTACGTGGCCAATGTTGATCGGCCCGTCTATCAGAAAGAAGTGGTAACGGCCGAGAATCTGGATCGAATCTTCGAGATCTACTCCGAAGAGGTTGGAGAAGCCAAGAAATGGCTCCTGGATGGAATTTCGTCTTCGCCAATTGTTCTTGAAACGCCGCAGAGGCCGGCCGCGAATGTCACGATGCCGAGCAAGCACGCTTCACCGACGTTGCCAGTAGCCAGTATGCGGAAGGATGACACGAAGCATCCGCCCAGCGCCTCTGGCACTACGGTCCCCCGCTCGCCTGCTGAAGGTTTGCGTTCGCCTAGGGAGGTGCAAGCTGCATCAGAGGTCGTTCAGGCTCCCATAATTGGAGAGCAGACCAACGATGAAGCCTCTCTATCCGAACCGAAACTGGACCCCAGCCGACAAGACAAAGGCAAACAACGAATGGCAGCCGAGGAACCTCCGCGTCGTGTCTCTCCAATCACACCAACGCTGCGACGTCAAAAGTCACCTACTTCAGATAATGATGATCTGGTTTTCGTTTCGAGCCACCCGCGATCTCGCCCTACATCAGTCCAAGCGGCCGGTCCAGAGAAGATTATCAAGCATGAGAGCCCAACGGTCCATCGTACTTCCCCTCTTGATCGGTCTACTCCACAGAAGGTCCCCGCCATCGACCAAGCGAATGGGACCTTGTCAGAGAGACGGCGGACTGGAACCGTTGCAGAGACGCCACCGCCAGCACCGAAGACCGCGGCCGCCCTTCCTGGAAACAAAGTGACATCGGGAGCGGGGAAGACTGCCGTGCGTCGAACTCTACCCGCTTCATTCGATTTCGGCCCTCCTTCGCGTCCTGCGGTTAGCAGCCCGGCACGGAGTACCCTCTCCGCTTCTACCCAAGACGCACGAGTCAAGAAGCCGAAGAAAACGGAGAAGGAAAAACAGGAGGCGTACAGAAGAAAGATCGCGAAGCTTTTCAAGCAGGGACGTCTTCCTGGATCCACTCCTGCGCCTAAAGGCGGGGATGCTTAAGCTGTCCGCGGAGGGTGTTCCAGGAACACGCAGCTTGTCTGATGCCCGACGATTCACATGACGGTGACGTTAGGTGGGATTTGGTTCTATCCATGTTAGTTAGGACGAAGTTGTTTGGTGCTTCACGCGGGATGAGAAAGAGGAGAATGTCTTCAGTGTTACACATGTATGATACCCCAAGCTTGTGATATTTGTAGAGTTGTATTAGACTATAATGGTACGGACTCAGTTATGGTACTCTGAAAGCAAAAGTCAACTCTGAATTGCTCAGGCAATCAATCTGTCTAGACTGGATCTAGTGGTGCTTTTCGCGCGACCGGCTCTCTGAAGAGTCTTGAAGGTATCTAAATGCCCCTTGTAGAAAACATTTGCCAAAGTCGATAATCCCGTTACAAATTGGCGTTCATCGTATCCGATTCGTTCGTAAAAAAGTTGTGTGATCTCGTCGCAGCAAGCAAGCATGACTCCGTTTTACAGTTTACACCAAAAAAATGCCCGGTGGTGTGAAATTTTTCCCATTGGTTTTGCCCCATCATTCGTCTT